GGTGTTCACTGGGTTCTGCACTCTTATGTCTGTGTTTTGAGTGTTTGGGGAATGGTGTCTGGATCCTGATACATCGGTCTAGTCTTGGTTCAGTTTCGGGGTCCTGACATCCATGCTCCATGCATTTCTGTCTGTCTTGTGTCTTGTTTTCTGTTTGGGCACACGGCAGATGAGAGTGTCTGTCATGAGCTCTTCTGTCGTTTTCTGTTGGAGCACATGACTTGTAGTACCGTTGGTTTGTCATGTGCTCTTCTGTCCTGTATGTTGTTTTCTGTTGGAGCACATGACTTGTAGTACCGTTGGTTTGTCATGTGCTCTTCTGTCCTGTATGTTGTTTTCTGTTGGAGCACATGACTTGTAGTACCGTTGGTTTGTCATGTGCTCTTCTGTCCTGTATGTTGTTTTCTGTTGGAGCACATGACTTGTAATGCCGTTGGTTTGTCATGTGCTCTTCTGTCTTGTCTCAGCTTTTGTTTGTTTCTGTATGTGTGCCATGTGCTTTTCTGTGTCTCTAGTCTTGGCGCCACTCTCTTCTTACCTGATTATTGGTTTATTTGCCCCACCCGCTCTCCCTTGTTACCCTCCTGATTTCCTTCCGTGTTTATTCTCCCTTTGTCCTCTGTCCTGTGCTAGTTTGTTGTGGACGTTTCCCCATTAGGTGTTGCTGTCCAGCCCTACCTTACTGGGGCCTGTACCATGATGGTAGTTGAACAAACTCAGGGTTGCTGGATTAGTTTCGAGTTGACAAACCCAAACCAATCCAACCAGGCTTTGTTGGTACCATGATGCTGATCATCAACTTTCTCTGTCAACTCAGGCTTTGATCTTGAGTTTAGGAGTTTAGGTGTGACATCAGTAGCGATTTCACTTACTAAATAAAAATATTAAAATATTAAGAATTTAAACAAATTTACACAGCAAGAAGAAAATAGCTGTCTATGAAAGATGACAACTAAAATAAAAAAGTCTCGCTGCTGTATATCAGTGCAAGTAAAAGTTGTGAAGTTAGTTTAGTTGATAAAGGTATAGAGAGAATTGAACATTTAAGCTCACATGTAGTCATTTTATAGCTTCATCTATTGATTCTAAAGTGTATTTATATTACCTTTATATATTTATTCATTTAAAATCAGTGTAATAATAATTGATTAACTAAAATTGTACATGTGTGATCGATTAAGGGTATAATAATTACATAAGCATTACTAGAAGCCAGACGATTTTGTCTTTAAAAATCATTTGCTATGTAGTGACCTTTAATTTGGAGTAGAAACAGGTGGAGTGACTTTATCGCGCCAGACATGTGTCACTTTGCTCACAGCTGATTGGTCCAAGTTCGTTTTGCAACCTCTTACCTGGAACATAACCTGCCCAGGTTAGCCGTGGAGCGCAAGTTTCTATGGCGATGAACACTGCTAAAAGCCAAACCACTTTCATGGTGCCTAAAACCCAGGGTTGGCGCAAACTAAACTGAAACATATCGGGCTAGCCACCTAAATCGGCTTTCCCCCACAGGGTTGTTTTTGTTATGTTTTAATTTATTAGTAATAAAAAGCCCATTGAAAACTCAAGAGCAGAGTCCTCACCTGACAATTAAAGTACTTTATTTCGATTTTGACTTCATAGATGAACGATCTTAACAGAACTTTAACAAAAAGAGGAGTAATAACTTTTATAATTTTTCACACACTTTATTCAACACACATTAACATACAATAACTTCCATAACATACAATAAAGAAAATGAATTTATAAATAAATCCAAAGAGGTAGTTTTTTTTCTTCTATAGGAATGAAGCATTGAAAACATGATTTCAAATATCATTTCACAAGCTCACACTTACATACAATTAGAGGGAGTAAAGTATAATGCGTATTTGGTGTGCTGTCCAGGGGGAGGGCTCCGAGCTCGGAGTTTGCCCGAACCCAGAGTACTCCCCCCATATGTCAATGGTTAACGTGTGGAGAAGGGGTCAAGTCAAGTCATCTTCATTTATATAGCGCTTTTAACAATGGATTGTTTCAAAGCAGCTTTACAGAGATAAACATATAATTTAAGGTAACAGATTGTTTTGGCTTTATAGCGGTTCTTGAATAATGTTACTTCCAGCTAAAGTTAACTTCGATTGATTCACCTCCGTCGAAATGATCAGACTTTAAACGCGAGCCTGTGATTAACGCTGACGGCGTTCACATGCTCATTCAGAATTCTATAGTTATGTGCTTTTTAAAATATGTGCGCAGGTTTGTAATTCAAACAAACTACTTTTCTTGCCTATAATACATGGTCGTCATAGCGACGCCACAGGAAACTTCCGTGATTCTCGCTGCTCTCGCTGGATCCTCTCTTCGGCAACCAAACAAAGGAAAGTCTGCACCTCCTCGTTTGACCACGGAGTATTCTTACGAGTTGCCATAATAGTAGTATATCATGCAATCTCTGGTCAAACTATTCAAAAATGGCGGGGTTATTCAGGATTCTCCGTCTGGCGCGTGCAATGATGACACAGTGAATAGTGACGATTCTCTCTGACCAATCAGCAGTCGGCAGTGTTTTTACATCACATTTTAGTATAGAGGGTATGCGCATGACGTCACCGTCGGCCGGAGTGAATGCGGTCACGCCCACAAGTGGCAAAAAGACTGAGCGGCAGCATTTGTTTTCAGCGTGAATGCCGTGAAAAAACACACAAAACACATCCAAAACGGGAAAGAGCTTTGCGATTGACTGTACAACTAGATTTGACCAGAAATCTGAGGTACTGTATATTTTTACAGACTGCAAAAAGCTACAGAACAGACTATATTCTGCATAATTGGATGTTTTTAAATAAACACTGACAAAAAACTATACAAGTTTTAGGGCTGGACGATATGATGATATACAGTATAACATTAATGTAAGTGATCACTCGGATTTAGACATATCTATATTGTATTTATATAAAAGGTTTACAGGCAAATTTTCTTAATTTATTTCCCCGGCGTCGAAATCAGGCACATATAAATGTCAGGAAACACGATTCCTGGCTGCATGTCAATATCCATGGATCACTGGATCTTTGATAAGATGTAAGGAACACTATATCGAGTCCAACTTTTAGTTTAAACTGATAATAGTTTGTTTTACTCCCGTTTTCGCAGTTTCCCCTATTAGCTCCAGTCACGAAGCAGCTCTTTTGCCACTCAGTCCGGCTGAGGGGGGCGTGTTCCGGCGGGAAAGTGACGTTAATGCATTCCCTCTATTGCCTCAGCTCGCTCAGAACCTCGCCAGAGGTGATACAAAAAAAGCAGTGACGTGCGGTCTGGTTAGGCAAACTAGGCACTGCCTACCCTGCCAAAATTCAAAAATAAAAATGTTTATTAAATAATAAACTTGTATTTGTATTTTTACTGTTTATTCTTGTGATTTATATATGCAATATGGGTGTTATTCCAATTGTTTAGACGTTACGATGACAAATGTAGCAGTTACGCATAATCAAATAAAAAACAAATGGTAGAATAAGCAGTGCTTTTACGATCCATTCATTGCAGACGACAAGCGAAAAACCCATGTTGCGCATGCGCACTTCAGTCCTGTATTCTTTAACATGTACGGCGAAAAGCACAACTCTGCTGTGCCTTTGGACGTAAATATGCTATGCCCGTAACCATCTACGTTACATATCGGACATGGACCAATTAAAATCGAGATATTACTGGGCATTTGCGTAGCTAACGTCATTACACCACAGCTAGCCTATGCCTAATCCCCGCCAAATTCAAAGACAAAATGACAGCACCGGCCATGATCATAGAGTTAAGACATTTTTCCAAGCTCGATTTTAATTCCAAATCTGAGTTAATAGCAAGAGGGAGGTCTACGCCAGCCTTAGATGGACTAGTGCAGCAACTGAAGGCCCGTAAAGACGAGTTTTACAAAGTTGTGATCGACGTCTTTACGAGGAAAGAGCGGCGGATGGATTTTAGGCAAAAACTATTTTGGGCTTAATATTGAATTGATAAATGTGGTTGAATTAATGCAAGCCATTTGCCTTCATATTCAATTGAGCAGTGTGTGATTTTACTTTTGCTGACAGACATAATTAACCGCTGTGCAAAAATTAAGGATTAAGAATGGTTGCATTCTGATGCTGGAGTGGACATACTGGTGTGTGGCTGTGCCGCGCTTGCGTGCGTGCGTGTATGTGAGCCCGCTCTCATCCCAAGGCTTCATAAACTGACGCTTTTGACATTTCGTCTAAATCCAACGCACATGGCACCCTTTAGCGTCAATATGAGACGCAGATATATATGGGCCAGAAGGCACCTCCTAGTGGTCTAACCCTAACCCAGACCTAAACCTACCCATAACTATATTGACGCTAAAGGGTGCCATGTGCATTGGATTTAGACTAAATGTCAAAAGCGTCAGTTTATGACGCCTTGGGATGAGAATGCGTTGTGTATGTATGTATGTCTGTGTGTGTGTGTGTGTGTGTGTGCGAGAGAGAGACTGTGAGAGTACACGATATACATCCTGATTTGTACATTTCTTGTTAATACCATTTTCTTCATAAATGCTGCGCTTGTGCGTAACGTTTACTGTTATTACGTATTATTAGCCTAAACAACAAATCAGGTAATCTGGCTTTCATAACTCAGTGCCTAGCCTCTTTAAGACATCACTGCACGTCACTGGAAAAAAGTACCCGAAAGCAGGTACAGGTACAACTTTTACACAGTGGAAATCCAAACAAAGGCGAGTCGAGTCGAGCCGGTACTGTGTAGTGGAAAAGCACCGTAAGTGACTACTTCGTTTAGAGATGCAGTTTTCAAAAGATGTTGATGCTGAAACCTTTGTCCTTGCATTTGTCTCTCTTTGACCATCTACCAGCTTAGCAAGCAAGTTTCTATAAAACCAACATGCAATTCCTGTGCTCCTCCCAGTGGTCTTCTTCAGCACGAGCTCTATCGACTGTCGGCATCCTGTGCGCAGAGCTTTGTTTGACTTCTACTGAGCACTGCCCCATGTACTCTGGTTTACCATCACACAAACACTTCAGGCAAAGTCTTGCAATCCAAATGCTTGGTGACAATCAAGTTCTTGCCTTGATGTGGCATTTTCAGCAAAGAGTCTTTTGAGAGCTTCTTGTTGCTTTGGAACACATTCCTTAAACAAACCTGTGGTAAACATGTATTTGGTAAATACCTTAAAAATACATGCCTCAAAGACAAAGTATATACTTTATATAGGCTATTAAATTAATAAATTACTTACATAGCTTAAGCAAAGCATCAGGAGTGCCACACCGAGGACTGTGACGGCCACGACTACATAAATTGTATCACTTTTATTAAATTCCATTTGCTCAACTGTAAGATGCTCTAAAAATACAAAACACATCAACATCAGATTGTTAGTTTGCCCACTTTTATCATTCATTTGCTATTGCTGTTATTATTGCTTTTAGATGAATTACAGCATTAATTAATGTGCTAGATCACCCCAGGGAACTTAATTTTGATTAAAAAAGCAACAAATTTGTGTTTTTAAGCTTAAGAGTATAAATTTATTTTTGTGGCCATTCAAAATCCCCACACTTACCATAGACCTTCAGAACGATTTCGCCTTCCTGGTTCTGATGGCCAAGAGGAGCAGACAGAAAGCAGTTGTATATCCCACTGTCTTGTGCAGTTACATTAGACAGAAGAAGGCTCTGTGTTCTCTCAAGCAGGTCAACCTCTCGTTCGACACCATTGTATTTCTCCACTTTGCCATTGTTTTCAGTTAGTCTTACAAGACCAGTTATCGTTCGGGGAGGCCCTTCAACAATCTGTAAAACAGAAGTTTAATTCATTAAGTTAAACGACATCTTCATTTAAAACAACACTGAACATCTCGCTATAACATTAGGGACTAGCCTAATTTGTATGAAGTACCCTGACAAAAATGTAAAAGCAACAAGTAGGCTACTGAATTACTTTCATTGCACCTTGAATAGGCCTACCTGCCTACATATCACATTGACCTTTATTTGGCAGAAAATTTAAATATTAATATTAATCTGCTTCACTGTTTAATACTTTTTAAAAATGTCAAATTAAATGTAGGCTACTTAGACATTTTTTTTAATATCTGAATAGATCGTTTTAGTGGTTATTGAAGCAAAACGAACATCTAGTAAAGAAAAGATGATAGGGAAAAAACACAAGGTTCTCAGTAAAGTATACAAATGTTGAACTTTACCTTGTACCATGTCACCGAGCGGTACCGGATACCCGCCTTTGATTTCGCAGCACAAGGCAACTCGACGTCCTCGCCAATGACAGTGCGAATCTCATGCCTTACACCCTCCGCCACAGCTGCAAATAAAACACCTCATGTCAACCTGGATCAACAGAGTCTGCGTGAAAATACTCGCAGGAATACGGGTGGAGTCTTACCTAAAGTTACAAGACAAACGATGAATTCCGAGAAGTAATGCATGGTTCTGGCTATCTTGGTCGGTGTCGACATGGTTTATATATCATCGCGCTTGCTCACTTGGCTTTTGGGGAAGTTGGAAAATCCCACACGCGAGTGACTGAACTGAAGAGAAAGTATAGGTATAACCCGGAACCGGTGTGATGGTGTGATGTGATAGTAGTTTACTTTCATTGTTGCAGTGACACCTGATAGGGACTCAAACAAGCGATGAGTTGGATCAAAGAAGTTTTCGTGGGTTTGATATCGCTATCGTTCTTTTGTTGGCCTGGTAAGATCTAATTCAAATACAAAAAGCCATCGCTTCACATTCATTCTCGATAAAATTGCTGAGGCTTGAAGTTATGCAAAACATAGTGCGATGCATGACGTCCGCAGCGTTTAATTAACGTTACAGTCCGTTGCAGTCAGCCTGATAGGCACGAACGGACAATGCTTGGTGTTATTCATATTTTATTATTATTATTATTATTATTATTATACTTGCACGCGTAATGTTTTCTGAATTGTAGCCTATGTGCTTTGCGGCAGTTCTGTGAGAAACGCTGGATAAGCTTCTTCAAAAGGTTTATTTAACAATGCATCTTAATCTTGTTAAAAATGTGTGTTTATATATATGCAGTTAATAAAAAAAATTTAAAAAAGGTTTGCGAGATTTAAAGATTCACTTGGAAAATCCCCCTGGGATTCCCCCCATATTACGCAATTACGCACGCGGCAGTTTCAAATCAGCCCTCACTGCCACTCTCAATCAAGTAAACGTGGTAGCCTACTGTACACCACAGAAACGTATTTCACATATAAGAATAAGTTGATTCGGTTTAAATGTCTATCTATCTATCTATCTTTAGTCTGGACTATAGTCACAGAGACAACACAAAGGTACACCTGCACGGAAGATTTACACCATGCAGAATCTGAATATGCGATGAAGCACCCAGACTGTGATCAGTATTGGTCTGCACAGGAACTTGTGAGTATAATAAAGAATTGATTGAAGTTAAGTAATAGATTCTATATATAGAATACTTAGAATACTCTGCAACTTACTGACTTTCATGCTGTTTACCTTAGTCCATTGGAACGTTTTTGAGATTCACCCCGGAGTGTCACAGTCCATGCAAAGAGTTGTTCGTTGGTAGGATCACATTGACTGAATGTGTCAATATCACCCTGGCTGTAGTATGCACACAAGTGAGTCATTTTCTGTGCACTACAGGGCATGTATTTTAAGAATCCGCATTTGAATAGCACATTAACCTGCATCTGTCTCTTTAAATTGTAAAGGATGATTTGTCTGAACACCGTGTGCATTTCTATGGTAAGTTTATGTTCTACCAATAATATATTGTTATAACAAGTATATGACAAGTTAATGCTTTTACACATTTGTCGTTGTTGTTTCGTTTTAGGCAAAAGGGTCCCTCAATCACTGCACAAACCTGCGAAGAGAGGTCGCATTGGTAAGAAAAAACAAAATGTGTGTGTGGGTGGAGGGGTACTACAATCAATAGTTCTGTTAAGTACAGAAATATTTTTGGTTTCATTTCAGAGGATTTCTCTGTTTGTTTATCTCTTCTTTTTTTTTTAGGTATTTTCCTGTCCATTGCCTTGCTGGTCATAACCATTGCATGTCTACTGCTGAATGCAATCAAGCCACTCGCTAAGATATTGGAGGAAGAGAGCCTTCAATAGAGATTCACATTTTTACAGTTTTTACATTTTATTTTTGTTAGCTTCATCACTTATAGCATAGGAATTAGAGATGCACCGACCAATACTAAATTTCCTCTACCGATTATTCAGAATGATATCTGCCAATACGGATATAGTTTTATTTTCTATAGGAAAGAAATTATCTCCCAAATAATAATGTAAACTGTACAGGGAACCCTCTCATTTGGGACATTAATATAATACTAGAGGTTAGAATTTACAACAGAGCTATTATATTCAACAGCTATTTATTTTCAGATATAATAGTTACACTCAATTAAAAACTGAAATGTTTGTATAACACATTTGCACATAAGGTATAAACACTTGTCCTAATGGCATAAACACTTGTCCTAACGGCAAATTTATTCAAACATGCATAAATAATTAACAGTAAATAAGCTTCTCTCCCAATTATTTTTTTTATTATTCATTGCTTACTAACAAACTGTAATCACAGTAACTTTAATAACTTTCCTAAGGTAAATGCAACGTTAAGTGACATTTTACTCACATGCTGGTTTATTGAAGTCTTTCCGTGGTTGAAACACAGATTGAGTGATGACATTTCAACAATGAAGCCGTGAACTTCACATACTTTTTAAAATCCAGAATTTAGTGGATCCTGGAAAGCGCTCATTGTCACAATTGTAAACACCATGGCGTTCTTCTTCCATGAGGGGTTTTGGCATTACAGCATGTTTTTTTTTACACATTTTTTTTTTTTTACATCATTTCAGCTAGTTGCCTAGGCTTCATTTCTCATTTTCATTTAGTTTAACTTGAGGTACTAAAATAAAATTATAAAAAACTAGACATATTTAAAAAAAAATTTTTTTTTATAAAACTTTAAAATAAAAATTTAAATAAACACTGATTCAAAATATTTATAAAGCCATTATCTAGGCAATAGTTAGATATGTGTACATAAAAGTTTAAGTGTAAATGGAGAGACATGAAAACACTTCACTTGTGTTTGATGTCTCCCCAAGGTGCAAAATTATATATTATGCTGCCCATAAAAAAATGACAGTATAGTAGCCTGCAGTATTAATATAACTAAATACTTTATGTACTATTTTTTTTTGTACACATAGCTGTGTAAATGGCGACATGAAAACACTTCATTTGGGTTTGATGTCTCCCCAAGGAGCAAAATTATATATTATGCTGCCCATAAAAAAATGACACAGCATTATATATATATATATAATATTGTTAATTCAACTATTTTTGGATTTTCTTTGCTTCATATCTACCTCTGACGATTGTATGTTTTACTGCTAGTACTGTTTTTTTTAAATAAATGCTGCTTGTTTTAAAAACGTTTAAAACTGAAAATTCATTTAAATGTTTTTAATTGTGTTTAAAGTGTACAAATCATATTTAAGGCCACTGTAGTAAAAACAAGACCTTAAGAACCAAATCAAACACAATGGTAAGTTACATGTAGCAATACTACTTTAATGTATGTTTAGGAATTTAAAACGCCCCTTTTTACATTGAACATTATAGAATTTGCAGGTTATTAAATGTTTAGTGATGTGAAAATACATTATTGCCCTGTTATAAGCAAATGCATTCACATAAGATAAAGCATTTTCCTAAATAGATTTTACAGTCATTCAAAAATGTTTGATAATGACCTGAACACAGATCAGAAAATGTTGTGGTTACGCTGTAGTCATGACACACAATCATACACAGTTTACAAAAAAATTGTCTTTAATTCAACTTAATGCATCAAAAGGGAAATACATATTTCCCTGAAACTACTGGGCAAAAGAACTGCATTGTCTCTAAATAATTTAAGACTTGTTTTTAGAGAAAATAAAACATGATATTTCAGGACACAGTAGATGTATATTTAAGATGCTTTACAAAATTATTTACATGTCTGTACTGTATACATGAAACCAAAACATTGTTGATGAATGAAAGCAAAAGTGCTGGCAGTATTCATTTGTGTAGTTTCATTTGACGCCTTCAAAGAATCAAACTAGTAAAACAAAACCCGTAGAGACTTGGGGCCTCATTTATAAAGTGTGCGTACGCACAGATTTGATCTTCGAGTGCGTGTACGCTAAAATCCACGCCAACGTTCAGAAGAAACAGTCTTTGACGTGGAAAAGTGCTTAGCGCTACGTCAGGGTCTGAGCAGACGTCAGAGAACTCTTTGGCCTCGTTTACACTGCAGGTCTTGATGCCCAATTCTGATTTGTTGCCTATATCCTATTTTTTTGACCGTCCGTTTACACATTCTTTAAATTGTGACCCATATCCGAGTCATGTGTTTACACTTGACATAGATCCGAAACATCGCGCATGTTTAAAGGGGTCTTCTTGCACAGATGGACGAACGCGCAGCGAGATCTCAGGACTGGTGAGAACATAGCCTACAACACGATCTCATGAAAGTGAGTGTCTATAGCACGAATTTGATTTCACGTGCCATTTATACGCCAAAAATAGTTTTTGCTTGCATATGACACGCACTGTATACGTGTGTATTAAACGCCATAAAGTGCGTATCATACACGCAAAAACTATTTTTGTCGTAAATGGCACGTGAAAAGAAAAAAATCCGTGCAATAAACGCACTTTCATGAGATCGTGGCAGGCTTTAACGAGGAGCAGTGGGTCCGAAATTTTAGGATGAGCAAGCCAACCTTTGATATGTTGTGTCAACGTGTGTCCACATTCCTCTCCTATACGACGACACAATGTTTCGTCGGGCCATCCGTCCCTTCGCAGATGCGAGTCGGGGTTTCTCTCGTCATTAAACCGCGGAGACGAAGCCTAATGCCTCAGAAAATCCGATCTGCCTGTTTACATGACAGTCGCACTGGCACATATCTGATTTATTTCCACATATGAACGAGGCCTGAAACCGATCTCAAAATATCCGAATGCATGCGTTTTTTTCCTGTTTACACTGTCATAGAACACATCCGATCTGTGTCGCATATGAGTAAAAAATCGGAATTGGGTCACATTTCACTGACAGTGTAAACGAGGCCTTTGTCTAAATCACACGTACGCACATTTGAGAAATGATCGTAAGATCAAATGTAGGATGGTTTCTACGCAACAATTTATAAATGAGACTCTTGATCTCCAGGTTTTGACTCCAGTCTGTCTTGATTCCAGTCTGCACCCAACAGCACAATATTCATGGTCTCTGCTAGAAAGGCCCTTCTGTCCCAGGTCAATCACAATCCTCCCTGTTCTCAGGCCTGGCTGAGGGGGCCTTTGACCAATCCCATCTCTTTGCGCACTACAGGTGCATGAATGCTGCAGTCTCGCGCCTCGCACACACCAGGTATTCCTGCACCACCAGCCATGCCAGGCTGACCCACACGCCCAGGAAACCCACGAGGTCCCTGTGGGCCCTCAATGCCATCTTTAGGTTCTGCTGGATGGCCTGGCAGTCCTGTTTGGGGAAATACACCAGAGTTACTGTAACTACATCTAATCCACAGTTATTGAGGGAGATTTCAGACCTGTAGATCGTTTATGGAACAATGTTTCAGTTCACTTTTACAAGGCAACATTGCAAAGAGTACCAGAGTGTACATACGTACACCAATGAGCCAAAGCATTATGACCACCTGTCTAATGCTGCTGGTCCTTCGTGTGCCAACAGAACATAGCAGACTCGCCAAACCATGGATTCAACTAGACCTCTGAAGGTGTCCTGTGGTATCTGGCATCAAGACATTAGCAACAGATCCTTCAAGTCCCGTAAGTTGTGAGGTGGAGTTGCAGTGGATCGGACTTGTTGAGATCAGATTTAGATCTGGGGAATTTGGAGGCCAGGGAAACACCTTGAACTCATGTTCCTCAAGCCATTCCTGTACAATGTGGAAGGGTGCATTATTCTGCTGAAAGAGGCTATTGCAATCATCAGGGAATACCATTGCCATAAAGGAGTGCACCTAAGTTAGCAATGTTCAGATAAGTGGCAAGTGTCAAATTGATGTCCACATGAATGGCCGGACCCACGGTTACCTGGCAGAACATTGCCCAGAGCATCACACTTCACCCACCAACTGTCATCTTCCCGCATCTTGTCCAGTTCCAACACTTGTGTACCCATTGTAGGGGCTTTCAACAGTGGACAGTGGTCATCCCTTATACCGGTCTGCTGCTACGCAGCACCATATGCAACAGTGCGATGAGATGTGATGTGATGTGACACATTCCTCCCATAAGCATCATTAAAATGTAGTGTGACTTGTGCCACAGTAGACCTTCAGCTGGTTCAGACCAGACAGGATAGCCTTTGTTGCCCTCACATCAATGAGCCTTGGGCGCCCAACACCCTGTTGCCGGTTTGTGGTTTGTCCCTCTGGACCACTGTTGGTAAATTCTCACCACTGCTAACCAGGAGCAACCCACAAGCCTTGGCGTTTCAGATATGCTCTGACGGATTCGTCTGGCCATAACATTGTGGCCCTTGTCAAAGTCTCTCAGGTCTTTACTCCTGCCCATTTCTCCTGTCTCCATCACATTGACTACGAGAACTGATTGTTTGCTTACCATCTAATCAACCCAGACCTTGACATGTCACATTGTTAGGGTATGATCAGCATTTTTCATGACACTTGTTTTGCCCCCAGTTTGGTTAGTCTTTTATGAACATATCAATCACACTCAAATCAACACCAACAGTTCTGAGATCCCCTGAACAAGGTGGTCTAAACCTGCCTTATTTGGTGCGGATCCGAGCGTGATTGCCGTATTCATATAAGCCTAAATGAACTGAACCAAGGGTGAAAACGCCAGTCTCCAAAACAAACCTTCTAAGTGAACCAGGTGTGAAAACGCCCCAAAATTACCTCTGAGGCCTTGGTGACCATCATGCCCAGGAAGACCTTTGCCAGCATCACCTCTCTGTCCTTTCTGACCTTTTGTACCTTTAGAAAAACACAGTGAGCTCATCTGTATGCATAAACAGCTTTTTTGTTTAGTTAAAACTTTTAATAGTGATGTCGGCACAGTACCTCTGTCCCCTGGAGCTCCTTTCTGGCCCTCTAGACCTTTCATGCCTTGGGGGCCTCTTTCTCCTTTAGCACCTGCCTTTCCTGCTTTACCCTGAATGAAATACAATGTGTTAAAAAAAGTAAGAGTGCTGTTATATGACAGATTTGTGTCAACTCATATTTCAGCTCACTGTTTTTCCTGAACTTCCTGGGGGTCCTGTGACACCTGGGGGTCCGATGAGGGTACGGTTGTTGATGGGACAGCCCTGTACGCATTTGGCACGTATAGATGCAGCATACTGGGAGATCTGAGCAGTGACCACACCTTGACACAGCTGCAATATCTGGTCATCCGTCAGTCCTGGACCCTGCACAGAGCGAGTTGTACAAATGTTTTCTGCGTTCTGGCCTAAAATTCTTTCATACACCCAAAATTAATTTATTTCTCATAATAATCATGATGATACTCACATGTGCACCTGGCTCTCCTTTCGGGCCACTCTGTCCTTTCCCTCCCAGGTCTCCGCTAGGTCCTCCTTCTCCTCTGGGACCTGGAAGACCTGGAGGTCCAATAGGACCAACAAGCCCATCGCGGCCAAAACGACCCTTCACTCCACGCTACACATAAAAATAAACTTTTACTTGTGATAAACAACAGGATTTATTTTGTACTTTTTACTACAATAAATTGATCAAAAGTGACAATAAAAGTTTTTAAATTGTGACAAAAAAATCAATTTAAAATAAGTTTTGAACTTTCTATTCATCGAAGAATCCTGAATTTTTTTTATTATGTTTCCGCAAAAAAATATTAAGCTACTGTTTTTAACATTGATATAATAGGAAATGTTTCTTTAGCACCAAATCAGCATATTAGAATGATTTCTGAAGGATCATGTGACACTGAAGACTGGAGTAATGATGCTGAAAATTCAGCTTTGATCACAGGAATAAATTACATTTAGAAAACAGTTATTTTAAATTCTAATACTATTTCACACTATTACTGTTTTATAAGAAAATTTCAAAAACATTATATAAAATTATATTATTGTTATTGGAATTTTTGTCTTTTATTTAAATAGGACAATGAAAAGTGAGAAGAAATACTATGGAGAAACAGTGTAGTCCGGATTCAAACCTGCATCCTTGTACGTCATGAGCTTGTGGACTACCACTGTTCCACGGCTCTGACGTAAAATAGTTTCACTCAATGATGACAAACCTGGCCTTTGTCACCACGAGATCCAGCGTCTCCCTAAAACAATGACGAAATTGTGGTTAAAATAAAAAACTGTGGCTAGTGTAATGGAAACAGGAAGAGAAACTGTGATGGCTGGTACCTTATCTGCTTTAGCACCCTTCCCTCCTTTTCGTCCTTGTGTCCCCTGAGAGAGTCATGAATTCAATTAAATCAATTCATATATCCAAATAGATCATTTTAATGGTGACACCATAATTTTATCTAATGCCTATAAAAAGTTTGGGGCTAATATTATACTGATGTTAAATGCTTTTTATATTACCTTCTCACCATCTGGGCCTGTTTCCCCTTTGGCACCCTGTACATCAGAACAACAAATAGTGAAACTAAGCATTTGATTAATAGACAGGTGGTTAATCAATCAGAAACTAAAATTAGTTGCATACTGTGGGCCCAGGCAAGCCTTTTGGCCCAGGTTTCCCTGGAACTCCTGCATCCCCACTGTCTCCTTGTGGACCCTATGGAAAGAAAATAAAGAAAAAGTCAAATAAAATCTCAAGCTTGCTCTTTTTATTATGGGGGGAAAAATCAAGGTGGATGTTCTTGATATTGCAAAACAGTATTGAACAATGTTAACAGTTCTGCTTGAAGAATAATTGTGTTAGTCACATATACTGTAAATGAGTAATCGTTTATTGCCTTTTATGATGTAGAATAAACTACATGTTTAGACTACACTATGCATAGTACTGTACAGTCTCATTTCCTTTTGGGGGAAACATTTAAGGGGAAATCCGGATAATCTGCACGCCTACACTGCAAAGTTACATGTAATGAAACTGCTGAAGGTAAAAATAGAACCTAGTTTCACTTTCAGTCTCGGGACTGTCTGGTGAATCCCCCACCATTCAGGGGCATTCCTCTGGATTACCAACAGTAACAAGATAATATATCAGATTTCTGGTGATTTCCAACTTCCAAAAATATGGTGCACTCCCACAGAATAATAATGTGGCTTTTGTTTTAATCTAGAAGAGATCACATGTCAGTCAACAGATTAACCCTGTGTGGTTTCTGATTGTGTCACGCACATTTGAAATATTTGAGAAGTGTAATATCGCCACAAAGGGCCAAAATCTTACCACACTTCCTACTCTTCCAGATGGCCCCCTCAGACCACGATCACCTTTCAAACCCTGAGGAAAAGAGGAAGACGGAAATTTACAAACTTTTTTGCAAACTCAAAATTTTGGAAAAAGAATTCCTTATTCTTTACAAAGAAATGGCAAGTGGATAGTGGAAACTGAATTATGACATTTTTAAGTAGAAAAATGAAATAGTATTTTCTACTCCTATAATCTTTGATTTATTTACAACTATATATAAATGTGTGTGTGTGTGTGTGTGTGTGTGTGTATTGTATTTTCTCTGACCTTGGGTCCAAAAAACCCAGGCACCCCCTCAACTCCTGGAACACCCAGAGGACCCTGGAAGATATATTATTATTATTATTATTAGGAGCCAAGTACTGAAGGTGCTATTGTATCTGTTGGCATTCTTCTTCATCTTCCGTTTCTTCTTCTTCCGCTCTGGAAGTCTATGGCAGCCCATAGAACGGTATGGTAAATACCGGTTTCGGTTTTGAAATTTTTGCACACTGATAGAGGACAGTCAGTCTGAACTGTCACCATGGTCTTTAACTCAAACCTTCAAGCGCCACCAACTTTCCAAATTTTCACTTGTGTTTATGCAAATAACTTTTTAACCGTAAGGGCTAGAAACATTTCCTCTGATTCTGTGTCTCACAAATATTCGATGCAATTGATTGCAACTAGGGTTGTAACGGTATGAGATTTTCACAGCATGATAATCGTCTCATAAAATATCACGGTTTCACGGTATACGGTATTAAACAATCATTATTATTATAATCATCAGCTACAATGACCCTTAAATGAATGAAAACATCTCGGTTACATATGGTAACCCTCGTTCCCTGAAGGAGGGAACGGAGACGCCACGTCAAGACCGACGAATAGGAATCTCGCTAAAGAGGCCAATCTACTTTGAGTGAAACTAAACAAGCCAATATACATTGGTGTGCAAACATTTGCATAAGCTGTGCAGCCTCGCAGCGCAGGTATCTAACGAGCAGCTGGTTTGATTGCACTTCAGTTTTTTGCTGAGGAGCCAAGCCTGAAAAAGCTGGCCGCCCTGGCGGACAGCAGCAGATGTGGCGACAGGACTTGGCGTCTCCGTTCCCTCCTTCAGGGAACGAGGTTTACCATATGTAACCGAGACGTTCCTCTTCAGTCGGTCAGTCGACGCCACGTCGAGACCGACGAATAGGAATCCCTACCAAAGGGCCACAGCTGCTTCACCCCATTCAGCGCCATGTGCAAGCCTCTACCCCTTCTTGCCTGGAAGGACGATAGGAGGAGGCTTACACAGAGTGTACCTGTCACTGTTGTTCCGTGAAATAGTGAGTGACTTAGCCCAAGGGAAAGACACGGGCTTCCATTAGGAGCAGCCGTGGAGAATATACACATATGGGATCCCCGTAGGGTCACACATATGGAACCCAGCCTTGATTCGGTTCTCAAGGATTCAGCGGATAAAGGCCTGGCGCCGGACTATCCGCCATGTCCGGGCCGAGGGTGTTTGGAGGACTCAACAGGTTTTTCACTCTGGAGCAATAAGAGGGCACAGTAGGGTGCAGCAAGCCGACAGAGCGGGGCCTCTCAGTGTTTCTACCCGTCTAGGATGAGAACACAGGAGGAGACCGGCTCTAAACGTAGGCTACAGTATCTAGCGAACGTGTTAGGTGTTGCCCAGCCCGCAGCTCTACAGTTATCTGTTAGCGGGGAGCCACGTGCCAGTGCCCAAGAGGATGCAACGCCTCTCGTGGAGTGTGCATGCAACCTGAGCGGGCAGGGCACGCCTTGTGCTTGGTAAGCCAAGTTCTGTCCACGTACATATGCAGAGCGCGAATGGGACAGAGCAAAGCCAGGGCTGGGTCTGCCTCCTCCAGGGGCAGCGCTTGCAGGTTCACTACCTGGTCCCTGAACAGAGTGGTAGGAACCTTGGGCACATAGCCAGGCCGGGGTCTCAGTACCACGTGGTTGTCACCTGGCCCGAACTCTAGGCACGATTCGTCGGCCGGAAATGCCTGCAGGTCCCCTACCCTCTTGATAGAGGCCAGTGCAACCAGCAGCAAAGTCTTCATGGAAAGAAGCTTTAAGTCTGCTGATTGCAAAGGCTCAAAGGGAGCATCCTGAAGTGCTCGAAGCACCAGGGAAAGGTCCCAAAAGGGTATGGAGGGGGGTCGAGGAGGATTTAATCATCTCACCCCCCTAAGAAACCTGACAACCAGGTCGTGCTTTCCAACTATGTGGTTGTGATATGCTGAAATAGCTGCAGCATGTACTTTGAGGGTGGAGGGCTCCAACCCTTGCTGCAAGAAGGAAAGCACAGACCCTATCGAACATCTTCGGGGGTCTTCTCAGTGAGAAGAACACCACTCGACGAACAGGTTCCACTTCAGGGTGTAAACACATCTCGTGGATGGCGCCAGTGCTGAAGTGATGGTGTTAAGTACCTCTGGGGGAAAGTCACCTAGAACCTCAGCGTCCCGTCCAGGGACCAGACATGGAGTTTCCAGAGGTCTGGACGTGGGTGCCATAGGGTGCCCCCTCTCTGAGTCAGAAGATCCTTCCTTAGAGGAATGGGCCAGGGAGGGACTGTCATGAGGAGCATGAGTTCTGGGAACCAAGTCTGGGTGGGCCAATAGGGAGCCACTAGAAGGACCTGCTCCTCGTTCTCCCTGAGTCAAGTCAAGTCAAGTCACCTTTATTTATATAGCGCTTTTTACAATACAGATTGTATCAAAGCGCTTCACAGTGATAACATAACATGAAAACAATATAACAAAGCTTGTTTCTAAAAGAAAATTGCGTCAGCGTCCACCTTAAGTAAGGCAGATCAATAACATTATTGAATATTAAATGTCCCCAACTAAGCAAGCCAAAAGCCAAGGCAACAGTGGCAAGGAACCAAAACTCCATCAGGTGACAGAATGGAGAAAAAAACCTTGGGAGAAACCAGACTCAGTCGGGGGGCCAGTTCTCCTCTGGCCAATGAAGGAACAGTGCATGATTCGGGCAGCATTACAAGTCAGATTGGATCGGAACATTTAGAGTATTTATCCATTTCCATCTTTTGGAAGTCCAAGTAATCACGCCGGTATTAAGACGAGTTGTTGAGGATCAGTGCCGTCCACCATAGAGAGTCCATATCGCCGGTGTTGAGTCGTCTCTTCACAGGCTTTGTGATTGGAGCATCTGAAGTCTCCGTGAGAGGCTGGATACAAACTGGAGCTGACGAACGCCATTTTCTCGGGACTCGCGTCCCGAGATAACAGCAGAAAAGCAAAAAGGGAAAATAATTAGCGTAGCTGCTGTTCATAATGATGATTTCCATAACACAGGCGTAAATGATAAAACATGAAGACAGTGACTCTTGCGTCCCAAAATCACCCCCCTCCGTCCCCCACTCAACTCAGCCTTGCTTACTGACCTCTACGTCCCTCCTGCTGCTGAGACCTAACCACAATCTCACAATCTCTCCGCAACCCAACCATACGCGCCAACCCTGTTGACTAAGGCTGTCGAGCCCCACTGGTGCGTTAATATGCAGTTTCAGTGGACAACGGTTCCGTATGGCATACCACCTACCGCAAAACACAATATCTGCCCAACCACCCGTCATTCACGCAATATACACAGGAACGTAATGACTGTAAATACTATGCAACCTATAAAAATAACCTACAGTCTCTTCAAGTTTTATAGTATTAAATGCATTTGATCTGATTCAGCAGTGGTATAAAAGGTAAGCATTATGTAAATGCTTGGCTAAAGAGATGCGTCTTTAATCTAGTTTTAAACTGGGACAGCGAGTCAGAGCCTCGAACAATATCAGGAAGGCTATTCCAGAGTTTAGGAGCTAAATGTGAGAACGCCCTCCCTCCTTTAGTGGACTTAGATATCCTAGGAATGACCAGAAGCCTCGAATTTAGTGATCTTAAAGAACGCGATGGATTGAAGGTCCATTAAATACACAGGAGCTAAACCATTTAGGGCTTTATAGGTCAGTAATAGTACTTTGTAATTGATACAGAACTTGATAGGTAACCAGTGTAGAGATGATAAAATTGGTGTTATATGATCATATTTTCTTGACCTAGTAAGAACTCTAGCGGCTGCATTTTGCACTAACTGTAGCTTGTTTATTGAGGATGCAGGACAACCAGCTAATAAAGCATTACAGTAATCTAGTCTCGAGGTCATGAATGCATGAACTAACTTTTCTGCATCAGAAACAGATAGCATGTTACGTAATTTAGCAATGTTTCTAAGGTGGAAAAAGGCTGTTCTTGTAACATATGAAATATGATTTTCGAAAGACAAGTTGCGGTCTAGTATAACTCCCAGGTCTTTTACCGTAGAGGATAAAGTAACAGGACATCCTTCTATATTAAAGTTGTATTGTAAGTGGTTTTGTGGGTAGTAGTTTTTTGGACCAATAATACCTCCGTTTTATCTGGATTTAGTAGCAGGAAATTACGCGTCATCCAGCATTTTATATCTTTAAGACACTCTGTCAATTTTGATGAGTTAGTGTTTTCATCTGGCCGTGATGAAATATATAATTGAGTGTCATCAGCATAACAGTGGAAATTAATTCCATGTTTTCTTATAATATTACCAAGTGGCAGCATATATATTGAGAATAGCAGAGGGCCTAACACCGATCCTTGCGGCACTCCATATTCTACTGACGTTATCTTCGATTTTTCCCCATTTAAACAAACAAAATGGTAACGGTCCGATAAGTACGATCTGAACCAGCTTAATGCCTGTCCCTGAACTTTGCAGTGTCTGCGCAAGTAGGCTCACTGAGGGAAACGCATATTTGAAAATTTTGAAGTATATTCCTGGCACGGCGGGATGATTGCCACCCAGTGAGTGCCGTGATGCCACACCCATCTCGGGACTCGGCCGTGAAGCCAGTGCTGAAGCGGTCTCATATGAAGCAGGCCGAGCGGGGTTACCACTGCAGCCGCTGCCAAATGCCCCAGGAGCCTCTGAAAGAATTTCAGTGGGACCGCCGTCCTGCCTTTGAACGTGTTCAAGCAGTTCAGCACCGACTGAGCGCGTTCCTCTATGAGGCGTGCTGTCTGTGCGACCGAATCCAACTCCATACCGAGAAAAGAGATCCTCTGCACAGGGGAGAATTTGCTCTTTTCCCAGTTGACCCGAAGACCCAACTGGCTGAGGTGCCTGAGCACGAGGTCCCTGTGTTCGCATAGCTGATCTCGAGAGTGTGCTAGTTTGTGTCAGTCACAGAGATAGTTGAGGATGCGGACGCCCTGTTCTCTCATGGGAACAAGGGCCCCCTCCGTGACTTTCGTGAAGACACAGGGAGACAGGGACAGCACGAAGGGCAGGACCTTGTACTGATTAGCGGAGAAACGGCCTGTGTCGAGGAAGAATCGAGACATGAAAGTACGCGTCCTTCAGGTCGATTGCTGCAAATCAATCTCGGGGACGGATGCATTCGAAAATGCGTCTCTCCGTGAGCATTTTGAACGGTAGCTTGTGGAGGCTCCGATTCAAAACTCGCAGATCCAAGATCGGTCGTAACCCACCACCTTTCTTGGGTACAATGAAGTAGGGACTGTAGTGCCCTGACCTCATATCAGTTGGAGGGACCGGCTCTATCGCGTCCTTCACCAGTAGGACTGCGATCTCCGCACGCAAGACATGGGCATCGGCTGCTCTCACTGTAGTGGAATGGATGGCCCAAAACTTGGGGGGACGCCGGGCGAACTGAATCGCATAGCCGAGCCTGATGGTCCGAATAAGCCAGCGAGATGGACTGGGGAGGGCTAACCAGGCTCGCAGAGACCATACAAGCGGGACCAAAGGGACCTTCTGTACAGCCGAGAACTGCTGGGCAAAGTTCTCGACTGCATCGCCGAAGAGGCCGGTCTGGGACACGGGGGAGTTAAGGAACTGGAGCTTGTCGGTCTCCTGCATGTCGAACAGACACAGTTCATCGCACCACCCACTGACCGCGAAGTTCCTGGAGAACTTGTGGATCATGGCCACCCTCGTGCAGGTCCTTCAGTGCCTTGGCCTGATGGACTTGCAGCAACGCCATAGCGTGCATGGTAGAGGCAGCTTCCCCAAAGGCCTTGTAAGCCTTGCCGAATAGGTCCGACGAGTTCCTACAGGCCCGGGAAGGAAGACACGGTTCTCCACGCCAAGTGGAGTTAGGGCACAGTTGCATTGCAACGGCCTGCTCATCTGGCGGGATGTGCGTGTATACCTTAGCTGCCCCGCCATCAAGGGTGGTGTGGGAGGAGGAGCCACCGAGACGGTTTCTGGCAGTAAAAGGTGCCGTCCACGTCCCTGTGAGCTCCTCATGCACCTCTGAGAAGAAATGCACTGGGGTGGGTTGCTGAGAACCAGCGCGCGCCACCCCGAGATACCAGTCATCCAGCCTCGAGAGCTCGGGACACGGTGGAGGGTTCCACACGAGCCCGATCCTGTTGGCGGCCCGGGAAAGCATGGCCATCATCCCCGAAGGAGACAGCGGAGCCGAGTCGTCGTCCACGGAGAGGTCTGACCCACCCTCCGATGCAGCAATCGACATCTGGTCGTCGCAGGGAGCACCAAAGGAAACGACTGGTACACACCTCGAGGATGGTCCAGCACACTCCATTGGTGGCTCAACTGGCTGCGGAGCATGAGAGGAATGAGGGTTCCAAGGGGGTTGGTTCCCCAAAGGAAGCGCGCTCACCGTGATCCTCAGGTCTCCAGTCTCTCTGCCCGAAGCAATCCTCTGAGGAGGACTGGGTCGAGGCAGATGCACGGGGACTCCGCCCCTTTGCAGGAACGAGAGTCTCGACCGCAGCTCCGAGATGGTCATCTTCCAACAATGGGTACATGACTCATCCACGAACGCTGCCTCAGCGTGTTCGAGGCAGCGATCGTGACCATCCCGTGACCCCAGGTAACGACCACATCCAGAAACACATGGATAGAAAGTCATCTTGAAAAAGACGGTTTCTATCGGTGTAAGTTCTTTTAGGGACTACTCTCACTGGTGCTGAAACAAGCAGGGGAACAGTCACTGCGAACACAGACAGGAATGTGTACCTGTCTGTGCGCTGTCTCTCTCTCGCTGGCAGGTCTTACCAGCTGTGAAAACAGCCTTTGAGCGCTCTGAGGCGCACCTTACCAGCTGTTAAAACAGCTTTTTTATTTGCTCAGTATTTAAAACAAAAAAGACAGAAGAGAGAGAAAGAAAAAAGACTTTTTTGTCGAAAAGGTTTTTTGGTTGAACATATGGTTTATTAAAACAAACATTTTCAATGGACAAAAAAAACTTTTTATGGAAGTATGGACTGTCCGATTTTCATGCAAATCAAATCAGATCATCGTCAGAACATGCGGGCAAAAAGTTATTAAAAGCTTTTTGATAAACCCAACCGTTTTCGAATAACACGCAAATTAAATTAATGTGTAGAGCACCCCAAATTTGGCACAAGGCTATATCTCCGCAACGCTTTAGCGTTACAGACTTGAGGGTACATGCTGCGTTTCGGCACAGTGCCACCTACTGGTCAGGATATATGAGAAAACTAACTTTTTTGCTTATTACTTCCGAACAGTTTGCCCAAAAATAAAAGTTGTCTCGATCGATTCGAAGTACCTGTACAAATGTCAAAATGTTTATAGTAACTTAGTGACAAAAATGCAATCAAAGTCTAGTGTTGGTCATTTTTTATGTGCTCATAAATATAAATGTCTATAACTCCTAAACGAAATGAGATATTTTCATCACGTGACACGCTTATGTATAGAGGCACTCTTGGTGGCACTATAATTGAACAAAACATGAAATTGGCTCTAACTACAGTACCGTTGGTCTGATTGACATGCAGTGTCTTTGTCTCAGTTGCTATCATAGTCCATTATGACATTGGTGTACCAATGTGAAAAACTTGGCCGTCATTTTAATTACAAAATGACAAAAAAAGATCCAAAGCAGTAACTGCTGTAATGGTTTTGCATATTGATGTATTTTACGGACGTATTGGCATATCATTATGAAACTTTATGAAACTCGTTATGTCTTAGGCACCATGCCCTGAAAGTACTCAAAAGTACAAAAAAATTTGGAATGCTATTATATTATAAGCAATTGTATCTCATTACAACTTAATGTATTTATGGGTTTTCAACCTTTTTTGCTTAAAATGGTCTCCATGTCTTTATTTACTCCTTTTTGCAGTTGGTCTGCTGTTAGCTTCCTTGTTTGCTTCTGTTGTTCTTGACTGCTATAATTTCTATAATTGCTGCTTGCAGTTATATTTATTAATATTAGTTCAGAAAATGAATACTTCAGGAAGTTTTTTTTCCATATTGACAATGGCACTTGCATCAGTAACAATTTGCTACTCACATCCTCTCCTGGCTCCCCATCACTTCCTGGCAAGCCACCTGTACCTTTAGCACCCTAAAGATGATTGCAGATGGAAAGAGAAATTCACCTACTGTAATACCAAAAGTCAGTCACCAAGTGCTGATTCAAGGAAAACCTTTTAGTTGGAATTGTCAAATTAGGAAGTGTTTACTTATAGAACATTTTGAGTATATATACAAACCTAGACAAGACAAGTGGTAATTCCACTGAGCTAATCTCTCTCATAGTTACTGTATAACCATCATAAGCCTTTTTATGAAAACAAACCTTTGGTCCAGTCACCCCACGGTCTCCGGGAACTCCTGTATAACCCTTATAACATGATGAAAAATAGTGGTATATTGAGATTACAACAGGGATTTTTTGAACTGTGAGAAAGAGAAAGGTTGTGAGTATTTTGTCACCAAGTAACCCTGCTCTCCACGGTCTCCTGAGAATCCAGGTGCTCCAATCTGACCCTGATGATGCAAAGAGGAAATGAAGGTTTAGTCACCAGCAGTAATTATAGGTGTAATAAAGTGTCAAACTAATGACTAGTCTATGACTTAGATATGCCCATAAGTCTTGGTATCAACCTTCTGTCCCTGTCGTCCCTCAGGACCCAGTTTTCCTGTTTTACCAATGGAACCCTGTTGAGAGATGGAGAGACTCAATACAAGTCTGGACAGATCAAAACTCAACTGGACATTTATTAGTTCTGTTACATGAGAAGCTGACAATAAAGATGGACTTGTTGTATTAAATATCAATGTTTTTAAATCAGGGGTGCCAAACTCAGTTCCTGGAGAGCCACAGCAGTCCTGTTGAGTTTAGTCCTAACTCTGCTCCAACACACATACCTGTAGTTTTCAAATAATCATGAAGGACTTGATTAGCTGGATCAGTTGCATTTGATCAGGGTTGAAGCTGAGTTTTGTACACCAGTATAGCATTACAAACTGCAAGGCCCTACTGTGTTTGCTTGAAAGGTCATGTCAACTACCCACATATAGTTCCACAGTTGATATATCAATTGCAAAAAATAAAACCACAGACAAACAAACCGAACAGAAAAACTCCCCCCACACACCCCATGGGAAATGAAACTTGTGACATATGACATTTAACCAGAATAGGGAAGCACATAAATTTGACTATTAACAGCATATAAAAATAAGTTCACTTAGACATGTACCATAACCTTTTTGAAGGGACTGTCCCCATAGAACAGTGGTGCATTTTTTACAAAGACAAAGTTTTTCTAACCCTATTAAATGTAGCATGTTTTGTCAAATTCTGAAATTCTGAAATTTAATTATTAATATAATAAATAAAGCAATAAATTAAACTAAATCAATCATTTCAATCAAATTAAGTGCCATCTTTGCACTGCAGTGGCACAGGCTGCATCTAGATGCATTTACACATTGTTTAATGCCCTTAATAGGGCACAATCCCACCACCCCATTATCATTAACAATGAAACAGTAGGGATAGTTGACCATTTCAAATATCTTGGACTCATAATTGACAATAACCTCACCTTTGAACACCACACAACAGAGATACAGAAAAAAGGGACCCAAAGATTGTCAGCGGTGCGCAAACTAAAAGGACTTCATGTTGCCCCCCATTTACTCTTACTATTGTATATTAGCATTGCTCAACCTATCCTACTATACTGTTCCACCTGCTTTTTCAATATGCTTACTGTAAAAAACCGAAATAAACTTACCCAGATAACCAATATCGCCACCAAAATAATAGGTCTGCCCACTCCAAATCTACATGAACTAAACACCAAAGCCATCACACGTATCGCTCATGAAATATCCCTGGACATTACTCACCCACTAAATCGATACTTCTCACTCCTACCCTCTGGCAGGAGGTTCAGAAGCATAAGATGCAATAAGACTCGCTTCAGCAGAAGCCTAATTCCTTCAGCTATCCAAATACTCAATAAGGTCAAAACCACACAGATAAAATAAATCTTATACAGTGCAATGATATATGTTTCTCCCATATATGGCTATGTCAAATGTCTACTGTGTATGAAATATGTATGTTAATATGTGCCGTGAATATATATATATGTATGAGGCAAAACGTTTTCTGGAAATGTGAAAAAGAATTTCCCTAAAGGGACAATAAATATATACTACTACTATTTGAGAGGACAGCCATTTGTAGAGGTGTCCAAAACCATAGTGGACGTTATCAAGTGCACTCAATCAATTCCACAATGCACCGCAATAACGAGTGTACATATATGCTCAACGGTCAAAGAATACCCACAATGCACTGTGAAAGATGGCATCTGCAGCTTAATCATCCATCCATTTTCCAAACCGCTGGTCCAAGGTGGCTACAGCGCAACATCATACAGGTATAACTTCCTTTTTAATTGATTATTAAATTGTTTAATTAAGGTTTATACATAGTTTGTTCAATATAAATCTTTTCATCTTACTACTGGAGCTGCCAGTTTGCCAAGTTTTAAATGATTATTAAACAGCAAGCAGAAACTATGCAAAAGTGGCAGCCCTTCCGGCACACTCAGTGTCCAAATTCACTCACTCATTTTCTTTCACTCCTTCAAGTGAACTATATTAGTGGACTAATGTAGGGAATAGGGAATGAGGGTGTATAGGGGGCGATTTCAGACACAGCCACTGTCTTAATGAGTAAGTCATCGAGTCATTCATTCAGTAACGAAGCAAGTGGCTATATTTATGAATGGGTCATTGAATCATTGACCCGATTCATTCCAACCCGCATATTCATTCTCTAATGAAACACTGCTGTGTGTTGGAGATAGTTCTGCTGTGGCTTTCATTGGAACTATTATTTCATTGCAAATAGAGCAAACAATATTGACAATACTGTTTACAATGTACGTCACTTAATATTACATTGTTGTTCGTTGAAATGTATAAAATCAATGTCACATTTGCAATTGTGTGGATATTTGGGAAAACATTTATTTATGCTTGTATAATATATTATCAACATTATAAAAACAAGAATTCACACAGGTACGGTTTTCTATCAAAGAGAGTTTGAGCCTTAAGTCTTGAAAGCAAAATATGAGGTAATTTGATTGGATGTCATGTATTTGACCTTTTACGGTACTACCATTTACCCACTTTTACACTAGATGTGGCATTTTGCATGTTAGAAATACATGCTTGGTTTTAATGTTATTTTAAGGTTGGGCAGAATTAAATGAACGGAAAAACTCAGCATTTTGTTCGTGTACCCCTTCTGTCACCTCATGTGCCCTAGTTTGGAAACAGCTGCCCTGAACAACTTTCATTTCCTTTTCATTTTTCTTTCATTTACTCTTATTTGTAGCTTGAAATCATGATCAAATAATCAAAATAAATAAATACAAAAAGTGAAAAATGGTGCTAAATATGCTGATCTTTCTGCAGAGTTCTGAAGATACAAATTCCATGTGGACCCGTTGATATGCTTCTTACAGGCCTTGAACCAGCAACCTTCTGGTCACTACATTTCAGCAAGTACCCCATATAACATTTGTAAAAGAGTGAAGTGACCTACCTTAACACCTTTACCACCTGGTTTTCCAGATTTACCTTTTGGGCCAACAGGACCCTGTAGTCAGTCAGAAAAATATTATCTCTGATTAATTTCATGGAGAAATCTGGGATTTTGTTAGGAATCTACTATATGATAACAAGATGTGCTAGCTTTGTGTTAGCTGTGCTTTGACTTATAAAATGGAGGACTAGACCATCTCAGCGGTGTGATCTCCCTATATATTCAGTTGTTATCATTATCAGCTATGTGATGATCACTGACTGAAATGAAAAATATTTGAAGTAATCTGGAGAGGAAACCCTGGTTGTGATGTGTTACTGAAGATGCTATGTTGCTCACAGTCTTTCCAGAGAGACCCACTCCTCCACGAGGACCCTCTATTCCGAAATTACCCTGGAAGGCATAAATAAACTCAATTTCAAGCTCAATTTCAATCATAAGTCATAATATCTAAATAATATAATAATGTATATCATAACTAAATGATATAAGAATTTAAATAAGAATAAAAAGCAAACCTAAATTGGCCTAACTTGAATATAAATAATATTAAATTGCATTGAATATCATTCTGGATAAACCTTGTATACATATAATAGAACAGTATAGCTCTGCTATATAACTAAGAATTATAACTCTTTTTTGTTAAGTGAGATCTAACAAATGTTCTAACTAACACTTTTTAGTTTACTATACTTGTCTTAATTGTAACTTAATTGTAAAAATTTAGATTGTAAATTGTAACATTTGCATACTATGCCTCTGTTACTCAGAAAACCCATGTTAAGATACATTTCATAGTCAAGATACATACAAGTCATCTTGAATGTTGTTAAATTGTCAATACAACTGAACATTTTGAGAGAACATCACAGAAGTTGACTTCAATGATGTTGATTCACTAAAATGGTTTTAAAGTCAGCATTATGGAACTTCTTTTAATTTGCCATACTTCTCTTCTCATCAGTTCAATGGTATTACAAGAAATCACAATTATTTGTGCTTTCAAAGAAAAGTTTTTTTTAAAGGGATCTAACTTCAATATAAACTAAACATCATACCATGTTGGAACATGAAACTATTGATAGGGTAAATATAATTAAATATTGCATTAATGCCCCTCTTGTGGCATCAATGCAAAACACAACAATGGTGACAATTAGATTCATTTTGATAAGATTCTAAACATTAAAAAACAGTTTTATTTGCTAATACAGACAACAAAGACAGCTAATTAAATAGTCAAATTAAGCCTGGGCAATTTCTTAAAGTGCCACTGTGGTGAAAATCAAGCTTTTAATGTTGTTTATATTGCTATGTGTTCTAGTTTCTGACGTCACAAACTACCTTGTATCCAATGACGTCAACGTGTGATCGTCAACGAGTGGATCTCTGATCTGGGGTGAATGAGTGGAGGCGGGGCTAATTTGCATATTCATAGAATCGCATATACTAAATGAGGCAAGGGTGTAGAGTTACATTTAAGCTATTTTTAGCCATGAATAATTTTTTATAAGGAAAAAACATTTAAATAATATCATTTTGGTGATCAGAGATGAATTTTAAGGGATAAAATTATAGACTGCATGGGGACTATAATTTATTCACGCCGCAATGCACTCCGGGAGTCAGCATAATACTGAAATTTCTGCTTCTGAAATTTGAGAAAATGCATTTCCATTTTTAAGTAATCTCAGGTTTTTAAGGAATCTCAACTTATTCCTTTTTACAGTGCATTACCTTGAATCCAGATAGTCCAGTTTCACCTGGGTCCCCTGGTAACCCGGGAAGGCCCTATGAAGAAGAGCAAGAAAACTACATATAGAGACTCTTCCGTATTAGCAATTAAACACAAAATAATGTAGGTAATAGTAAAGTTTTCCAAAAGTCTTGGCTTACAATTGCACCAAAGAAACCAGATGCACCATCCTCTCCATCAGGCCCAGAGTCACCCTAAACATAAGGCAAATAACATTAAGGTGAGCCAGTTCTTTGAAAACCTTCTGGTATGAACAGGATGCAGATTCAACAAGTGTTCCCTGTGTCACTCACCTCAGGACCAGTGTCTCCTCCTTTTCCTCTTACTCCTTTGGTTCCTTTGTAACCCTAACAAGATGACATCCAGTTTGGTCGCTTACACTTTACACTAGTTACATAACACTACAAACATTAAAATATGATGTTTTGCTCTTACCTCCCTTCCCTGGACCCCAGGTAACCCCTGTTTGCCTTGAAGACCCCTAGAACCCTGTAAGCAAACATAATCAAATTGAAGAATGCATTATACTTTAAAAGACAGCAAACTATAACATTTAAAGCCATGGCAATAATCAACCTTGGGTCCAGCGAAGCCTCCAAATCCCGGCTCTCCTGCTTCACAGTCGCATTCAGTGGGTCTCTCCTGCCCCAGCTCAGCGTCTCCTCCATATGGCACCTGTGCTATTAAGGTTTTATCCTCTTTGGCATAATCGAAAGATTCCACGACTGTGGCATACGGGTATGTTTCCTCAGTGATCATGGTGACCATGGTGGCTGCAGGCGCATAGGGGTCGAAGCCAGATGCCGAGTGCTCACCTTCACTGCTGCGTTTGGACTCTGCAGGATACTTGACTGAGGAAGCAGATAAAAGACACTGAGGCACTCATTGCTCCTGACTGCAGTCTGCTGGAAATATTGATATAAAACACATTATGGTGACTAAGTCTAAATTGTATATAGATGTACTGCTCATTGTTAGTTAATGATAGTTAATACTATCATTAACTAATGGACCTTATTGTAAAGTGTTACCATTATATACACTACATTATTAATATAATACACTCTAAAAAATGCTAGGTTGTTTATTATATTATAATATAATATAATATAATATAATATTTCAGAATACAAAATATTTCATTGTTGAAATTGTAGGTTAACTACAAGAGAAAAATGTATATAAATTAAAGAGAAAAATGTGTGTATAAATGTGAGAATCTATTGTGGAAATGTCCAAGTATATGTTGCTAAATAAAAAGACAAATAATTTATAATAAATTATATTGTATCTTATTTAAATTATATTTATATTGCATAAAGTAAATGAAGCATATTTTTTTTTGTCTTATAAAACATACAACTATGATGTACCAGTTTGAGAGATTTGTGAATTGTGACCAATTAATAAATTTGTATTTTATTGCAAACACCAGTAATTAATGTTCAACTTACAGATGAGGGTTGAACGTTGTTGAAATGTAAATATCTGTATATAATATACAGCACAGCTACTGAGGTTTCATCATGAGGGGTTCTTTTTTTTTGTAGTATGAACAGTAACATCTTATTTACCACTGTCAGTGAATCCAGAATGTCCGTCATATCGATCGACTAATGAGCCTTCATACATGTGTTCTTCTCCTGTGATTGTAAAAGAGAGAGAAAATAATCTGCCATTTTAATGTTTTATTGTCTATTTATACATAGTTATACAGATGTAAGCATGTTGGTAGTGATGTTGTCTCACCTGATTGTAAACCAGAATAATCTTGCTGGGCCTGAGTGTGCAGGACACACAACAGGAACACAGCCAATACCTGACAATACACCAACAAATCAAACAGATGCATAGGAACAGGTTACAGTAACACATCATGGTGGCAAAATCTAAATATGTCAAAGTTGATATAATATGATTTACTGAAAAAATATAATAACATAATGTATTAAATGTAGTGTTACAAAAGGATTTACAAACTTCATTAGAAATACTGATAATATTTACATATAGAACAATGATCTGTCTTTTTACTTTTCCAGTGCAAGGCGATCTCTCCTTGATGATGTGGTTTCACAAAAGGTTTCTTCATTAAACTGGGGGTTTTCATTGCCACTATCACCTTATTTACAAGTGGTGTTTCCACTTTGCTAATAGGAATTTTAATTTACATTACTTCAGTTCACTTTTGTCCTTTTGCTGGAACAAATGGATATATGCAACTGAAGCTGATCTTAAATTAACCCTCTTCCTGTTTTGCACTTCCTCATGTGATTAGCTCAAATGTCACCAATGAGGTCATGGAACATAATTAAAAACAATAAATAATAATAATAATAAATGATTTAATGATTTTAAATAAATCATGACCAACTTCTCAACTATGCATAGAAAACAAACAAACAGTTATCAGTTGTTTAAAATTACACCAAATTATTTTTTCTTATCTTTTTTCCCCAAATAATCATAGTAATTAAACCATGCAGACAGAATCGTTTACAAAAACAAACAAAAAAATGGAGGAAAATGGCTAAAGATGGATGTGAGATCCCTCAAATAAACGAACAACAACTGGGTATATTTTAGTAAGAGCTCAAATGATGTTGTATATTTTAACTCCCTCTAGTGGTCATTGTTAAACAGAGTTGCACATGTTCAAAACTCCCGAAAATCACCTCACAAAAATACCCGAGAAGTAAACACGAAATTGATATCTAGATTTGTATCACATGTAAGACCTGTAAGTATCAGTTTAAACGGTATTTTTGTCAGTTCCATGCTCAAGTAATAGCAGTTTATAGAGTAAAATATTTAGCCAAGAACATACCATACAGTAGCCTACATGTAAATGTAAAATTGTTGGTCTGTGTGTGATTTCAATCAGGTCCTCTAGAATGCTGCTCTCACATTCCAGACTAGATTGTTGAAAGGCCCGTTTTCTTTTCAACCAGTCTGTAAAATCTCTCTCTCTCTCTGCAGTACTGCATGCTCATCTCAAGGCATACTGTACACAGCATGTGACCTTTGACCTTTCCAACAAATACAAAATGCTTATGTAAAAAGTCAACTGACTTTTTTCAGGTCACTTGTTAAATGGCAGATAGCCAACAAGATTAAGTTACAGGCAATTGGAAAATTTATAGCATAATTATACACAACCTTTTAAAAGTTTGGTTTTCAGTTTATTTATTTTTTTATTCAGCAAGGACACATGAAATTTATCAAAATTAACAGTAAATATACATTTAATATTTTTAAAAGAATTTTTTTCCTAATAAATGCTGTTCTTTTTAACCTTCTAATCATCAAATAATACTGTAAAAAGCAATATCATATTAAGCTGCACAACTGTTTTCAACATTGATAATGATAAAAAAATAAAATAAAATAGTTTCTTGAGCACCAAATCAGCATATTAGAATGGATTATTTTTAATGGTAGTGTGTATTCAACTTATATGACCTCACATTAACCCAGGGACTAAATGCAATATTTTTTTTTCTTTTGAGAATTACAATATTTTTTCTATTACAGAAAAAAATGCTCACCAGTTTTAAAAAGATGCATTTTCGGTCTATTTTGTATATCGGTCTAATTTCTTCAAAATCTCCAAAACCTGAAAGAGTGACGTAGCAGAGCTAATGGCTCATAGGGCTGAAACATTGGGTTCCTCACCAACCCACAGGCCCTCTGGGACAGTGAGGTGCTGTACGGGTAATACGCACACGTTTTCATCAGCCCCACAAGCTTAAAATCTGGAACTGGCCTTTAACTACTACTACATAATTGTACTAAAATCAGAGTATTAATGTAACATGATTTATACTGGTCTAATTGGCCATGTAACCAAAATAATAGGTTGTTCATGGCACACATTATGAATATAAAACAAACTATACATTTCGTAAAGACCCAAAGATGTCAAACTATTTCTGTAGCCTGTGACATCTCCATTCACTTGATACCATTTGACAGTTTTAGATAAACATAAGCACACTATGCCTGATAGTTAGATTATAACAAAAAACTTAAAATGGACTTATCAACAGTCCATAGGATGAAAGCATCGTCAAAATGAATTCTCCTCAGCGACCCACAATTTGTTTGCCTTTTCTAAAACTGTCCTTGAAACCAACCAATATGAACCCTGACAACAAAACTACCAATGAATATGATCTGAACATCTGAATAAGCATAAAGAAAGCTTATGTGAAATCTGCTTTGCATATCTCAAACGAGTATTCCACTCTGAATCCCCCCAACATTTTAATACCCCATCCAGCATCTTACCTTCACCCTGGAGGCTCCCATGGTTTCCAGGTGCTTTACGGACACGCTCTGATCCCTTGGATTAGCTCAGTCAAGGGGTTTTTAGAGAAGGCAGAGAGCACGGTTTCAATGAGGAGCTGCAGTGGTCCTCAAAGCATTCTCCCTCCTTGCATGCGATGCTGAGACAGACGAAAAGACCTCCTGGTCCCTCACCAGAATCTCCCAGGCTCCCAACTCTCCTCATCTGGGTGAGAAATACCTGAGCCTTCCCCAAACAAACACACTCCTCCACTACACAAGAGAGTAGTGAGGAATAAAGGCACTGTAAAAAGAATACTCCTATCAGAGAGACATCACTATTCTTCACTCTATGACATTAATTATTTAGAATTTATTACATTCAATTTTGATGTAGTATACATGTTCACTAATATAATCAGTAAAGCTGAATTGCAAGATGTGACTTTGTGATTTTCAATGACCTTTTGACCTCCTTGGAAAAATGTGCCATTGGTGTAACAGATTTCTCAATATCCACATCAGGTGGTTATTCTCTCTTAGCAATAGATAGTGGGGCTGGAAATATCCAATGAACAGCTAAAGGCTGAATAAAAAGCAGGTTAATACAAATTATGAAGATCGTGTGCACCAACTTAGTAAAAATGCAGAGCTCTCTCGAATTACACAGCTATATCACTCACATTTTTCTATTCATCAAAGAATCCTGAAAAACATGCATCACAGTTCCCACAAAATATTAAGGTTTCTTGAGCACCAAATCAACATAGTCAAATCATTTCTAAAGGATGGGGTGAAACTAAAGACTGGAGTAATAGCTTTGCCATCACAGGAATAAACGATATTTTAAAATATATTAAAAGAGACATTTTAATTTTAATAATATTTTACAATATTACGGTTTTGCTGGATTTTTTATCAAATTAAAGCAGCATTGGTGAATTTTAATAACCATTGAAATCATTAAACAAAAAGAAACCTTTTGTACGGTAGTGTTTATGAAGATTTATCATGGCATGGATGTTAAAAATGCAAGAAATGCACAAAAACAAATATTTGAAACATTTTTATTCACATTTTATTGTAGCATATCATCCAACTAAAAACATTCAAGGGAACAATACTGATATGAAAATAACTCCAATTTCAAGACTTCTTTTTCTTCTTCTTTTTCTTGTGATGTCTCTCCACATCTGGAGAGTGTGAATCTCTGAGGACAAAACAAAAGGAGAGAATAATATAGTCAGTCCATCACAAACTTTGAGTGTAAAATAGCGAAATTACACTATGATGGATTGTTCACGCTGAACTTTGAAAATGCACAACAAGAATTTTAAGAATGATGGACTGATAGATAAGTTAAGTTCTGATTATAGTTAAAATACTTTCATGTTGTTTAGGTCAGTGTTAGTGTTAACCTTACCTCTTACTCTTGTGTTTTCTCTCTCGACTGTGCTTGCGACTGCGTTTGCGGTGCTGTTTATGCCCATGCTCATTTCGGGAGCTGATACGAGACTCACATGACTCAACAGATGCGGAGCGGCCTTTCTCATATGACCCTCTGTAACCAAAAACCAACATAAAAAATCAATATCAGTGAATCTGTGCTACTTCTGTCAGGGAGGAAAGAGATTCGCTGTACTGAAATCAGACATGTGACCTGTGGGATGACTGCTGTGATGCTTTGGACTCCTCATCCTTCACTTCCTGCCAAATCCTGCCTAGTTCTTCAGAGTGGATGTCAATAACCTCACGGATCACCTGGAAAAGGTAGGAAAGGGCATACAATTATGCAGAATATTCTCTATGGCTCTCAAGCCATTCACTGTGTGAAGACCAGTGATGGGAATAACGGCATTATAAATAAACTGCGTTACTAGCGGCGTTATCGAGTAATCAAACGAATTACTGTTTCCCCTGTTACAATGCTGTTACCGTTACTGACAATAAAATGCGGCATAACTATAATAAGCGTTTTTTTTATCCGAGTAGGCTCTCTCTCAGCCATAGGACCAGCAAAGATTTTTCTCTGGTGTGTGTGTGTTTATGAAGCGCCGGTCTGGACAAAAGCGAACCGAACGCCGCGAGCGCACTCGACAATGCACGAGAGAGACCGAGGTTATCCGAGAATTATATAGTTTGTTTATAAATAAATTACTAATTTCAGCATTAGAATAATCTCTGTAGCCTATTGGTATCATCTGCAACGTTTTAATTAATTTACATGGTCATAAAAATAAAATCTAAAAATAACCTGCAGGGAACGTTCTGTTTAGGTTATAAAAATAAAACCTAAAAATAACAGGGAACGTTCTCTTTAGGTTATAAAATAAAACCAGAAATAAACCTGCAGGGAACCTTTCCCAGAAATAGGGCTGGGGCGGTATGGATTTTTTCTAACCGCGGTTGAAAAGCAAGATATTCCCGCGGTATAGCGGTATAAAAAAACGAGCACAATTTGAAAGAGTCCGATTTTCATTAAGCTGTAATTTGGCATGAACCAATCACTGAATAGATTTCCTAATTTAAGAATATTCTCAGATACATTCGCATTGAATTCATCATTTTCAGGAGAATACATTATGATGTTGAACGAAATGAAAGATGAACAGCTTTTCCAACATGTCTTAATTACAAAAATGATATTCCATATTTATGTTAACATAATATAATGTTATTTTTTATTTAATCTATGTCGATTATATGAAAAGTGAACACCATGAGTAAGATAGGATCATAAGATGGGTCAGACATGATTTTGACCACTTTATTAAGTTTTGTTTTGTAGAAAGCCTTTCTTTAAATTAAATTTCGTTTTGTATAAATTGTATCTTAATTTTAATCACTGTTTCATTAACTAATTGCCTGGAATTATACAAATATAGCAGACATATAACCAGGACGATGTGGAAGCGACGGTGCGATCTCTTGCGCGTGAACTGGAGCTCGTCTCATAAATGAACCGAAACTCGTGCGCCCATCGGAGACGGAGTTCACTGCTGATATTCTGAGGATACAACATAGCCAATAGGCTATACTATGGACTTTAGCCTTTAGATATCTTTGCTGCATGCATAGTCTCCTTTCTAGAACAGCCAAGAGCTTTCTAGCCTCGCGGCAGCAGCGCCGCTTTTATAGACCTTAAAACTGATTTTAAAAAATCAAAAAACGAAAATTGATCAAAAAACGTTGGTGCGGATGGATGGCGGACAGATGATGCGTTTTGTGCTGCGGTTCCGTTGCGGATGAAATAATAATAGCCCATCCGCGCATCTCTAATACGAATGTAATGCTATGTGTCATGGAACATTGCGCTCCCCAACTCGCGAAAGGGATTTGCTCCATCTTTTGATAAGTTTTGTTTAGAAAACCTTGAATCCATGTAAGACACACTATCATTAGAAATAATCCATGTCATTAGAATCAATGAATCCATATCATTAGACACAACGTGCACACATGTGCAGGCCAATGTGTTTTTTTTTTTTTTGTTTTTTTTTGCGGTGATGACGGTGACGAGCTCAGACCCGCGGTTGGAGTCACGTGACCGCGGTATTGCGGTAATGCGGTAACCGTCCCAGCCCTACCCAGAAAACCTCTTTGTTTGACTGGTTGTGAACACGTGCGGCAAACACGCCTAGAATTTGGCTTAAATTACCTCTGACAATGACGTTCTCTGTAGGTTATAAAATAAAAACCCAAAAATATTATATTTTATTAGTATTATTTATTTTTGGTACATTGTTCAGAATTATATTGAAAGCACTTCTTGTCACTGTTTACTTTTGTGAGGAAGAAAATACTTCAAGTAGGCTATACAGTATGTCTACCAGTTGTGAAGTTGTGTGCATAGGCGGAAATCGCGAGGGGGGGGGGTCGGGGGGTCAGGACCCCCCTATCTGAGGGTTGTCCCCCCTAAAATATCATTAAAATATGTGTGTTGTAAATAAAATAATGATATATTATTAAAATAATTGTTTAAGAAATAAAATAATACAAATGCAAACGGGGCAACAACAAAAAAACGTTTTAAACATTTTGAGTCCCCCTCCCTTGCCTCACAGTGCTTTGGTCCACTGCCTCCGCCCCTTTTACCTCACCACCGAGCACCGAAACACACACATTCCGGTGGCGAGAGAGATGAACTATGTTTTTGAGTAGTTGTGGAACTCCAGTAAGTCAATGTTATTTTATTCACTTTAAACATCGGATGAAGTGATTATTTTCTCTTTAATATAGATGATGCAGAGTCATTAATAAATCATGTAAAAAAAAAAATATATGATTGTGTACTAATGTACTTTTGTCACTGATGTAATCTGCTATGTTAGCGATTATAACGTCTAACGTTACCCTTGTTTAATACAGTCTGCGTTTACCTAGCTTGTTTAATACAGTATATCCCCACACACACACCCGCACCCATAGAGTGTACGCATACACTGCGTGATGTAATGTTAGTCTTGTAGATTAGACTAGTCCGGGTGCGTATTTAGATTTTAACGCTTTCACTGTGATTTAGTCGGTTTATATCATTTAATTAGTGTTGTGCCTGAACGCGTTCATTGAACTATAGTTCATGAACTCGTTCAAATTTTGGGCGAACGTGAACTGAACGTGCTGTATTACTGCCTGATGAACGTTACTTTGAACGCGTTCATTCTGGTGTCTGTGAACGCACGCTCTCTCTGTTTAACTCCGTTCAATAGGGTGCGCCAGATTTCTACAGAGCCTTCCAGGCGAAAACCTGGCTAAAAATTCTTCAAAACCATACATTTTTTGTAAATAAGTTGTTTACACAAAACAACTTATTTACAAAAAAAAAAATGGTTTTGAAGAATTTTTTTGGTCAATTTAGTCAGCTTTTTTATTAAACCAGAAAGAAACTTTGAGAAGAAGGATAATGGAACGCTCTCCATGCTACACTAATAATAGTAGTAAGACTTTCCTCGGTGTACACGTATCCTTGCAAGTACAATTTTGCCTGTATTATTGGTGTCCCCTTCAAAAATTGCTCTTGAGAATTGTTATGTTTATTGTCCCCCCCCCAACATTTTGATGAAATTTTCGCCCCTGAACTTGTGTGACAGTGTATGTATATTTTTTATTATTATTTATTCATTTTTGGTACATTTCTTAAGCAGCATCATTTATTTTTAGACTTATTTGTTGGCCAGTTGTTGTCTGTGCAATATTAAATATTATCGTTCTAAACCATCTATTGTGTTTTATTGTTCTACTATAGTAATGATAATATTTAATATAATATATTGAATTTAATAGGCATCTCTTACAGTGTCCCACAGCAACATTAAAATAATGTAAATTAGTGTAAAATGTTTTATAATAATAATTTATTCTATTTAGTGTCATTTCATTCATTTAACATTTAATATTGGGGGCATCCAAGTTTTTTGACATATTTGAACTTTTTTTTTTTTTTTTTTTAAGTAACGCAATAGTTACTTTCCCTGGTAATTAGTTACTTTTATAATAATGTAACTCAGTTACTATTTATGAGAAGTAACTAGTAACAAATTACTTTTTTTTAAGTAACATGCCCAACACTGGTGAAGACAATTTAAATTCAAAATGAAGGCAATCTACAGTGAGAACATACACTATTAGACTAAATAGTGTTTTGTGGGTAAGTAGATTAACATCCCCCAAGAGCAAACACAAACTCAAATCACAGACCTCTGTGTAAGACTTCTTGGTGATGTGAACGTTTTTCGCTCTGTAAGACTGTCTGCGCCTCCTGTAGTCCCTCATCTCAGCCAAGACCTCCAGATGAGACTTCGGCCCACTCTGTTTATCTCCTATAGAATGGATTTCAGACAAAACATCATTCTTTAATTTATCAACCAGATATGATCAAGTAATTGGTACTCAGTATAGTGTGAAATTATATATGGACTTGGTACTAAAGCCTTTAAAAGTGGAGGCAATTATGAGATTTTCTCCAAGTTTGGAGCAACTTAGGTCTTATACGAATCAGCTGTGATGCAGCTCCACCTCAGGGCTCAGTGGGCTTCATGGTGTAGCTCTGCCTTAGGGCTGAGTAGGTCTTGTGGTGCAGCTCCAACTCTGGGTTCAGTGAGCCCCAGCCCAATATTACTCTGTTATGACATCTTTACAGATACAATGTATTTGCTGGCTGTCGTTTTACTGGTAACTGCAATAATTACTCTACAGATCTTTATATATATATATACAGGGCCGTAGCTAGAGGATTCGGGGCCCCCTGAAAAAATATTGATGTGGGCCCCCACCACCCTCCACCAATATCATACTGTACAATAGATGAACATGGAGGCCCACATAACAGAAGATGGTGATGTTGTTGTAAAACCTTTATTTTAAAAGTTAAATGTTTATATAAAAATTACAACTAATAAAAACTAACAAAAAAGCAAGAAATTGTTAAATAATAATAAAACCAATTTTTAAAAAGTAATACATTTTTTCCCCATCAGTCTGTTATAATTCATAAATCAAAAAGTAAACATTTAAAAAATTGACAAGAATGCAGTCTAATTAAAAAAATAAAAGCATTCATTGTCTTATTTTTTAATAAAGATAATATGGAACTGGTATTATTAAATAAAGCGAATACATTTATTCATCCAAGTGCAGTGTGTTGTATTCGTGTTTTCTCGATGTTTTAAATATCATCAGCCGGCAGGTCAGATGCATAATGCAATGCGTCGTGACTCGTGTAATTTTTTTAAAAACTCTAGTTACAATAGTGTAAAAAGACCGGAATTTAGACCACGTAATCATTCGGTCGATTGCGGCGCGCACCGATAATAAAAAATGACTGTACACGGCAGACTGTAGACGGAAGTTTTCTAATTCCCAGCGAAATAACAATATATAACCGGTCTTTAAGAACGTCTTGATCGACTGGGATACAACCACTCTCCTTGCCTCCATCTCCGTCTTTTCCTGGCATTTCTGGTACCTGATTTGTTTTCTTTTCCCCGACATTTTTCAGTCAGTTAGTCTCCTGCTCTTCCACCAACTTCATCGTTAACTTCAGGCTGCCGCCTCAACTCTGATTGGTTCTGTTCACGAGCTGGGGCGGGACTTACAATTTTATCGGGTCCATCTGATGTTTGTCACTGACTCTGACTGAATAATTAATACATACTTTAGGTCGGACTAAACCATTTTTATGGAGGTAAGAGAAGCAGATATTTGGAAAAATATTTACCCAAATTGCACGTTTTTGTGGTTTTCATTTAAATCTCAGGCATACAACTAATATAAATATTAGAATTATTCATACTACAGGGGCCTAAATAGTATAACTGCTGGATTTTGTGGGGCCCCCTGGGCAGCGGGGGCCCCTATAATTGTCACCACCTTTCACCCCACTAGCGACGGCCCTGTATATATATATATATATATATGTATATTCATTTGTGTTCTGAAGATGAATGAAAGTGTTATGGGTTTGAAATGAAATGAGGATGATGATAGAACTTTCATTTATTAAGTGAATTAACCCTTTCAAATAAATGTGTAATTATAAATGTGAAATTGTAACCTTGAATATGTGAAAAATGAAGCTCAGAGACAAATATTTCCCCTTAATTTGACTCAGGATCAATGGTGATATAATAGGTCTGTGAATTCAAGTACCTTTTTTAAGCTTTGCAACAAGGTCTACATAAAGATCCTCGTTGTTGGATTCTCTCTTCGCACTCTGCTGACTGGCTTCTTGTAACACATGACCATGGACGGCCAATCGTTCTGCCACAGTGAGGTCACATAATGCGCGCTTATGATTCTGAGGTATGTTAGGGAGATCTGTAGATGTGTCCCCTGCAAAAAAATAAAATAAAAACAGATTTTACACAAAAATCACAATAATTAGTAAATGGTTAAAAAAAATAACATATTGATTCTGAAGATTCATTATCAAAGTGTGTTTATTTCAGGGACGTGTTTCCGAATAACATTTTAAATGACCAGTCTGCTAAAAGTAAATCCAGTGCAGAAATAGCAAGTCAGAAAAACACTCCCAACACGTAATGGGACAACTGGAACAATAGATTTCTGCATTTTTTGGTCTTATGTCATTTATGAATGTTTAACTAATGTGTACCTGGGTGAAATAAATTAAAATCTTCTATCAAGCTATATTAAGGACCAAGTCTTTAAAAGGATATTGAGACAAAGGATACAGCAAGTATGAGTGGAAAATTGTCTAGACCAGACTTCCTTTAATACTCACCGCTGTTAATGGGGAAAAAAAACAAAGAACACAGATAAATGTTGAAAATATTTGAAAAAATAAATAAAGACATGGATATCATTAATACACTCATTCTGTCACACACAATTTTAAATGTGCCATATTGCTTGTTATCCTGATAAGTGCTGAAATTACCAAATCACTGTCTAGAGAAAGGAGCTGGCTATCTAAGCACTTACTTTTTGAGTGGATTCCTGTCGAGCTCACGCGAGGAGCATTTTCCCGGGTCTGCAGAATTACTTGGTGAAATGTGTCAACGTCTGAAAGTGATATCAGTCAACATCACAGAACTTCACAGCCTTGCAAAGCTCTTTAAAAACCTTAAAATGGAATAGTATGTCTTTCACAAAGTCAAAAAACTCACCCATGGTAATGGACGGAATGTTAGCTTTCTCATAGTACACTGAAGGATCAAACATTTCAGCCTGAAAACAAATGACAGAAGAAAAAAAAACACCTTCAAATTTCATGTTCATATTTTCCGAGATTAAGTCAATCACAAGACGTTTTGCTGACCAGGTACTTTATGTGGTTCATTATTCACCTGCTCTTCTTTAGAGTATCCCAGCTGACTGAGCTGACAGGCAGCTTTGTGTTTCTCCATCCTGCCCCGCGGTACAGTGTGGTTTGGATCGCATGGACACACTTCCATCTGGTAATCAGAAGACAATACAGGTATTTAAAAAAATATTTAAGCCCAAGAGAGATAAAGCAGGTGCCAAATAGTTTACAGATTTACCCGTACAAAATGTTACCATACTCTCCATCTGTATTAAACTATATGAAGTATGACATGGATAGTTCACCCAAACATGTAAATTCTGTCATTATTTACTCACCCTCAAGTTGTTCAAAATCTATGAATTTCTTTCTTCTGCTGAACACAAAAGAAGATATTTTGAATGTCGGTAACCAAACACTTGATGGGGCCCATTGAGTCTTTTTTCTTCTTCCATACTATGTAAGGTAAATGGGGCCGCCCATCAACTGTTTAGTTATCTTTCCATCTTCTTCAAAATATCTTCTTTTGTCTTCAGCGGAAGAAAGTAATTCATACATGTTTGGAACAATTTGAGGGTTAGTAAATGATGGCAGAATTTACATTTTTGGGTAAACTATCCCTCTAAGAATGAAGATTGTTTAAATTAGTAGCAAGTGATTATGTAATAATATTAAGATTTAACGTTAGATAAAAATAAAGACTTCCTAATAGTTTATAGTTAATTTGCATGAATAGAAATGACAGTAGTGTGTGATATTTTTGGTACTATGGTGGTAAGTGGATAAACTAGATCCAGGGTCATTAAAACAAGGGCTACAAAGTAACACATATCCATTCACTGCATGCATTCTCTTTATAATTTTGTGTTTGGCTGTTAACGTTAACGTTACCTGAACTGCATGTGTATCTAATTCCTGACTCCATTCCAGCGAGTCAAACAAATCCCTGAGCTCGGCTTGACAACTCTCTGTGAAGTCTGTGAGCTCCTGCAAACGCTGCATGCGCTCCTGGAGACCCAACGAAAAAGTTGTTTCACCCATTTTACATCAGGAACGTTTTTACATCAGCAAAACAAGCCTCTTGCCTTACGATTGTTGTCTACGCGAGTGTTCGTTGGCGCTTGAAAATGACGTATGCACGACGTAGACTCGACCTGTGGTTGCCACGGGTTGCCACAACCTTGAAAAACAAACTGCCCGTTTCGTGCAAAAAAATATTACAGGTATTTAGAAGACGTTAATTAAAAACGATTGACTGTTGGGTGGGAAATGTCTTTTTCTAAACAAGTTACCTAAATATGATTATAAAAAAATACGTTGTATTTAACACCGATCGTACCAAATTTGATGAAATTTATAAAAAATCTGAAATGTTTGAAAAAACTTTTTCGATGAGTTTTGGGAGAATAGTTTTGAAAATTCAGCACTTGCTTGTGGAAATAGTAACGAGGTGAACATTACATAGCTTGCAGATTATGATGCCATAAATTCCATTAAGTCTCACCTTAGGCCTACAGAAAATATGTTCTTGGTGTGTGTGTGTGTGTGTGTGTGTGTGTACAGGTTTATATTACAAGGATAGTAAAACCTGAGATCACCTACATTGTGAGGACCAGTCAACGGTTTCCACAAGGGAAATGTAGCCTATTAATAAAAATACTATTATTATGTTTTTAATGTGAAAATGCAGAAAGTTTTATGTGATGGGTATAGGTTTAGGGGTAGGGTTATAAAAGAATAGAAAATACAGTTTGTACAGTATAAAAATTATTACGCCTTTATAAAACGGTTAGTTCCAATCCTTGATTCTGATTGGTCAATAGCTGTGCTTTATTCACGATAAAACACGGCTATGACCGCTTCACCCAACGGTTCTATGTATCACTACACAACACCCCTAGCAACCACTCTTAGCAACTTAAACAGATGTTTCATCTCATTGATATTGTTCATTTAAAGCTAGAGCAGAGCATTGTGAGAGATCGAGTAAGCGAGTGTACCTGCATTTACAGTAGACGTAGCATTTTCCTTCAGGTCAGTCCTATATTCATAATAAAAAAATGCGTTTGAATGTCCGCTGCATATTTTGTCCTTTTAACAGTCATGGGGTTTTCCGTGCATAACGTTAGTCATCTGTCAGTTGCGTCTGTCTTCTCCGTGATCACAAGTTCGAGTCCTTTCAAAAGCCTTCTCTACAGACTCACTCACTCACTCACTCATAAAGACAGTCTTTGCCGCCATCTATTGGCGAAATAATATATGTAACTTCTGTTGCTGTTCACGTTCCGGGACTATTTTTTCCAGCGGAAGGCAGGCTTTTAGTGATTTTACTTCATGAAAGTTGCATAGATACATATTTTTCGGCTTTAATATTTTTATTGTGTGGCAACCGTTTTATAAAAGCAATAAGGTACTCGAGGCAAGTGCTGTATCGTGAATAAGTAACGGCTGAAGGGGTTGCAGGCACTCCGCTTCGCGTCGTGCCTAACAACGCCCTCCAGCCGTTACTTATTCACGATACAGCACAGCCTCTCGTACCTTATTGCTTACATATGGAGTCCCCACAAAGATATAGCGAAACCGAGTAGGCTAGCCTCTGTGTCCGTGTGTGTGTGTGTGTGTGTGTGTGTGTGTGCATGGTACGGCCAAATGTTCCCACAAACACAAGGGCCAGTAAATTTTGACCTAAATGAGGCAATTTTTGGTTACATTGAGGAAAACAGCTTATAAATCGTACTAAATGGTGCTTATTTGAAAATGTAAACATGCAGAAGGTTGTCTGTGATGGGTAGGTTTAAGGTTAGGGTATACAGTTTGTACAGTATAAAAAAACTATTACATCTACTGAAAGTCCCCACAAAGATACCAAAACCTGACATGTTTTGGTCCCCATGACCATGAGTAAAACACCTTATAAATAATACTAAGTGATGTTTTTTGAAAATGTAAAAATGCAGAAAGTTTTATGTGATAGGTAGGGTTAGGGGTACACCAGAGGTAGGCTTCAGGTTGCATACAATGATTGTATGAGGATTATATAAAAAAAACCGAGGTGGAGCAGTGTAAGTAATCTATGTTGTATGTCAAGAAGTAAAAACCTTTATGGATTTATGTATACATTTATTTGTCGGCTGGATAATTCACAGAATGCTATTATTATGCTGTTGTCAAACCCAGTCACCTATGAACCAGTCACCTATGAGAGAGTATTGGCATAATTGTCTGTATGACAATTGTATGTTATTTTTTGTTGGTTGTTGTATGTTTTCTTGCTAATGGACCTTGAGTCTGGAAATCAAGTTAAAAAGAATTGAATTAAGAGGATAGACATTATAGGATATTGGCAGTATAACAATCATCATGTGTGTGTGTGTGTTCATTCTGTTTCAATTTCCTTCTGTTCAATTTCATTCTGAACCACCAGATGGCAGCACATCTTCATTTAGTGAACAAACACGCTCCACGTTATTTTACCACGTTATATTGGAGACAGGCTCAATTATCAAAATGATCAGACTGCCTACGGGTTTAGTCCAAAATAACTCTCGATAAAGTCTTTTGTTTTATGACTCACTTTATAAAGTAAGCAAAAAGCCTGGCATCAACGCATTCTTCATTCTGAGAATATGTGACAGTGAATCACAGGTTTCCTCTATTCACTGGATGTTTTACCTTTGAAGGACTTCAAATCCAACAGCATTTCAACTTAATTATGCCAAACTGAATGAATCACTGTTTTTTTTTTTATATATATATATATATATATATATATATATATAAACCTTGAGACCAACATGCATGTGACAATTAAAAGTAACTTGAAAGATTTCTAATTCATTCAGTCAGTCAGATGCTTGACATGTTTTAGACATTAGCATACAATGTCACAATGCATGTGACAATTAAAAGTAACTTGAAAGATTTCTAATTCAGTCAGTCAGTCAGTCAGATGCTTGACATGTTTTAGACATTAGCATTCAATGTCTAGGCAAACCTGACTGCATTTAAACAATGATGAGCCAAAAAAACCATTAAAAAGTGAAAAGTTCCTTTGTTTTTTTCTATAGGCTATATAGAGATGTTGGCATGGTAATAATGGTATGCTCTCATTTTACGGGCCATCTGTGGATGAGTTTTTCTGTTTCTATATTCACTTCATAACCAGTGGGCGTTCTGCCCTGATGCCATGCTAACGCATAATTGACGATACTAGTAGAGTTTCGCTGCTCCCACGCAGAACCAGGTTATCTCTGACGTCTGCTGGCTGAGCGCTAACACCTGCATTAATAATACCCGGGGAGGAAAAGATAATTGGTAGGCTATCTTGAAAAATTCAAATATCTAAAATACAGTGTAGAACATTGAGTCTCTGTTGGCAGAAATACGTCTGAAAAACATGTTTTAAATGTCACATTGCAATGTTTCCAATGATATGCTTTATTTAGCCTTTTTAAAACACATTTGTCTTCTTTTCTATTTTCAGGCACATTTGTAAGTCTTGCATCTATGATGCACTGTATGTTGACATAAAATGAAAATTTTGACCATGCTTCAATATTCGACGCTTTAGGCACCCTTTAACGTCAGTTACATGACGCGATCCTAGGGCGTCATCTTACTGACGCTTTACCTTTAGCGTCAGTAGGATGACCCGGGTAGGTTTAGGTCTGGGGTAGGGTTAGGATTAGATAGCGTCATCTAACTGAAGTTAAAGGTAAAGCGTCAGTGAGATGACGCCCTAGGATCGCGTCATGTAACTGACGCTAAAGGGTGCCTAAAGCGTCAAATATTGAAGCATGGTCAAAATGATTCCCAAGGCGTCAGTTTCATGACGCCTAGGGATGAGAATGCGTTGCAACGTGTGTAGGGCGTTCTACACTGTAAAAAAAAAAAAAAAAAAAAAAATTAACACTCATTAAGTCATGACAACTTATGTTTTTACATTACTTTAACTCAATCCAAACTGGAAGATTCACTCAAAGTCAGTTACAAATAAAGTCTGATCTTGTATTTTGCCACTTTATTACCCCAGAAGTTATGTTAAATTGCTAATAATCACTACATTTGTTCTCTCAATGCCCCCCGGTTTCAGACAGCTTCAGCCTAGTCCCAGACTAAAATACATGTTGAGCTGTTTTAACTGAAAGCAACTTGCACTGACTATCTTAAAATATGTCAGTGCCATTGTTTGTCTCAAGATTCAAACCATAATGTTTTTTTTTTTCTAAGGCACATTTATAAAAGCAAATTTCCAATTGAACTAAGGCTTAATCATGACTTAATCTAAGCCCTGTCTGTGAAACCAGGCCTGAATTTGGAATCACTTTATTTTGATGGTCCCTTTTGAACATTTTGAACATTTGAACATAAGTAACTTTGCAGCTACAAGTCTTATTAGAGTATTGTCTGCTTAATATATGCTAACTCTTTATTGTGATGCTCCTCCAACAGACATTCTACTGACTATAAGTAATTTTGCAACAAGATGTCAACTTATTCTAACCCTACCAGTCTATTAATACTCTACTAACACTCCAATAAGAGTTACATGTAGGTGCAGCCTTACTTATATTTAACAGAATGTGTTAAAGGGACCATCAAAATAAAGTGAAACCCTAGCTGAATCTTTTCAACGTTTAAGCTTTGAGCCCAAACTTGTACATGTTTTTGTTTCTGTAGCAACACTTCTGACAGCCCTTTATTTAGAAGCAATCAAGTTTGTCATGAAAAAGGAAGCAATTTTCTCAGCCCAGACACTGCAGACAGACATCACTGGACAGCAGCGGTCGAAGCGGAAAAGATTTGTGGTAATAAAAACCATGTCCCACTCAGAGACCCTTACAGTTCACTCGATTTTCTCTTTCACACAGATGCCCTATTGCTTTTCCCCCTTCTAGGTCTCTGTGTCTCACTCAGCAGACTCTGCTATTGAATGTATTTCACTCTGAAAGCACAAAAGAATGCCCTCTCCGATTACCTCCAGCCCTTGAACTATCAAAATTACCACCTCGCGGATGAAAGTGATCACAAAAACAGCACTGGGGTGGAAA